ACCTATTATTAAAAAAAGTGTTGAAGAAAATGTAGGGTAAGATTGAGGAATGGATGAGGGAGGAGTGATGGAATCATGTAAGAATTTTGGTGGAGGACATAAAATTAGAGGCTTTCGGAGAACTTCCCTAAAGATTGCCAAAAAAGAAAACCGAGTCAACACATGTATTCGTTAAACCTACGGAGCTCGTACGGACTTTAAAGGTTACGATAAAGTTTAATTAATGTGAAAGAATACAGTATCTAGAAATTTTTCCAATGAAGAACCCAAGAATTGCTCACTTTTAATGATAAACTTTATATGCAGTAATTTGAAAAGTCTACAAACGTCTAAGGGGGTTTTTTCGATTTGCAGAGCTTTGCAGATCATACACATTTGACAGAGTGCTTCGATTTAGGATTGGTCCGGCTTTGGCACTTATGCGGATGACCTGCATAGTGATGGTCTACATCTTATTCTAATTTTTGATCCTGCTATTCAAGCAGATTATGCGAGTTTTCAGAGAGGGATAGAAAAGGTATCTCCTCAAATAATCCGCACATAAATTTGACACGCAAAAAAAGTATTGCTTACAGAATGTGTCTTTTATCGAATGGGCTAAGCAGTCGCAGGTTCCAAAGAGCATTCAAGAACAGTACCCTATGGCTGCAAAAACTATGGTAGACACGGTTACTTCCCTCATTTCAAAACTTTCCCTATCATAAGCTTTAGATCATGCTTGGTAATGTGTGGCCTGATAGAAATACAGCCTTTCCCGACTTTCTTGACCCCACGAACAAGACACTGCAGTGGTGGACCTCTGAATGCCAAATGTATCATGATGTGGTCAGTGAGGGAATAATCCTTTCGAGAACTACTGAGAGACAGGATTTTAGGTTCCTTTCGATGGAATGTGGATTGATATGAATGAACCATCCAACTTCGATACAGACACGTATCAAGAAAATTATTTAAGGACTGATGGCATAAAACCCCACCTTTCCTGTCCCATATCGGGATCAGATTCCGTGTTTGACAATCCGCCCTATAAGACTTATGCAGTATGTTCTTCAATTTTTGCTCTCTCTATTCGATGATATCACCTTTAATGGTTTGGGTATACAATCGAGAAGGAGAAAAGCTTTGCTCGAAAACCCTCTGCATGTTGGCAAAAACTGGTCGAAGAACTATGAACTTTTACGACACGAAGAATCTCTACGGCTTGTCGGAAGCAATAGCGACTAGTCAGGCGCTACCGGCGACTACTGGAAAAAGAGGAGCGGTCATTTCAAGGTTTACTTCTTTTACATACCGTACATTTGCTTGTGGGTTATTTTGCTGAATTAGTCACTCCGAATCAAATAATTTTTTATTGTCATAATCGGAATGGATATATTCAAAAAGGCAAGTCGAGACTAGCACGGAAAAGTCAGATTGCTATATAAAATAGAGGATTCTTAAAGTGACTTTTAGTATAGTTTTTGGCCCCAATTATGTATATTACGCTACAAATGCTTGAAAATGTTTTTGCAACAATAACAAGCTAAAGGATGAGGCTCAGCAGTAATTTTAAACTTATTCCCAGTGGATTACTGTAATAATTTTAGGTCGACATTCCCCTCGTCTGGTCACTATGGCGGAGCTTGGTTAGGCGATAATACAGCGACATGGAGTGATCTTCAGACTTCTATAGTTGGCAAGTATTTCTAACAATGAAAAAAACCATGATAAATCAAGTATTCAGGAGCGATGGAGTTTAATTGGTTTGGAATACCATATGTTGGATCGGACATATGCGGTTTTAATGGAAATACCACGGAGGAATTGTGTTTGAGATGGCACCAAATGGGCGCATTTCATTCATTTTGTCGCGATCATAACACACATGATGGTAATCCTCAAGACCCAGCTGTATGGCCTTCTGTGGCTAAAGCTGCAAGGATTGCGCTTGAATTTCGATACAAGTACCTACCCTATCTCTACAGGTGAGGTTTGCAGTTGTATATCGTAAATGAATGAGATGCACAGCTATTACAGTTTACACTATGCTGCAGCAGCTTATGGTCATACGGTCGTGCGACCGCTATTTTTTGAATTTCCCTTTGATAAAGAAGCAATGAATGTGGACCATCAGTTCATTTGGGGTTCTGCATTAATGATCGCCCCCGCTGTAGAGCAGGTGCGGCTTGGAACGCTCAAAATTCGAAGGAAATATCCTACAAATATATTTTACAGGGAGTGACATCCGTACGTGCATACTTCCCTGACGCCACGTGGTACTCTTTAGTTACTGAAACCTATGCAGCTTATATGGATGTAGGTTACGTAGACGTTGAGGCTCGGCTTGATTCGTTGACGCCCATTTATGTGCGAGGTATGAAATATTAATATTAAATCTATTCGCCATATTAATATGGCACTTTATTCTAAACGACTTATTCTTAACAGTTAACAATTTTCAAAGACTACATGTTAAAGCAGTTTTAGTTTCAGTTTAAAAAATACAGGAAAAACTTAAAGATACTAAAG